AAGGAGACGTTGGAGACGCTGCTCGTGGACATACGGACGCGACACCAGAGCACCATCGACGAGACGATGCTGCATGAAGAGGAGTTCCGCTGCTACATCAAAGATCTCGCCGAGCGTGCGGCGTTTGTGCGCACCAACCAGCGGTTGACGGCGGAGGAGATGGAGGGGTTCCTCGCGACGGAGGTGAGCCAGCGGCGGGAGATTCGCAACGCCCGCATCCGCCACATCCTACTGTGCCACGAGCTGGAGAAGCTGCAGAAAACGGCGGCGCAGCGCGACCAACAGCAGGACGGCATGAATCTCATCGACTTTGAGCAGCTGAAGATCGAGAACACAAACCTCAACGAGAAGATTGAGGAGCGCAACGAGGACCTGGTGAAGCTGCGCCGCAAGGTCACCACCACCATCCACGTCCTGACGCATGTGAAGGAAAAGCTGGAGTTTATGAAGGTCGAAAATGCCCATCTGCGGCGACAGGTCGCGGCGACGGAGGACGAGGTCAACGGAGTGCGGGACAAGCTGGCGCAAACGAAGCGGCGCCGCGACCACTTCACCACTTCCAACATTAAGATGCGGGAAAAGATGCCGATGGTGGGCTCTGAAAAGCTGCTGCTTGACTATGAGAAGCGCAAGGAGGCATCTACCACAATGCGGCAAAATGTCTTGGAGAACGCCGCAAAGCACCGAGAACTGCTGGCGGCCATTGACCGGAAGCAGATATTGCTCAATAGCCTGCAGAAGTCCCTCGCGCTCGGAACCCCCGCAACAACTGCGACCATAACCGCCAAGACTACTGTACAGCTGCCGGGGTAGAGTCGGGCGTTTGCAAACATGTACACAGGAGAGAGTTACTGGTATATATATATATATATCAGAGAGAGGGTGAGAGGGATGGTCTGCCTCGCAAATGCTCACATCCTTTTTTGGATGTGCTTCTTCCCTCTTGTGTGTGTGTTATTCTTCTCCATTCCTGGTGCCGCCACCACTAGTACCACCAAGAGATCTGCCTTCCTATTCTTTGTTTTTTTGTTTATTTTTGCACCACGCCGTCTCTGGCCAACCACTTACTTGTAGCGCCTTGTGCTTGATCACAACGATGATGCCGCCTACACCTGGCACCGCTGCGGAGGAACCCGCGTGTGACCTCGAAGACCCTTTTCGTGAGGAGCAGCAGCAGCAGCGGCAGCAACAACAACCTTTTTCTAGCAACAGCGACGCTTTATCCAACCCTTCCATGGATGTGACGCCGCTGGCGAAGTTTGCACAAGAGGAGCCGACCGTGAGCGGCGGTGTCGTGCGCCGCATCGTCTACTTCCCCATTGTCACAACCATTGTGTCTACCGACTCCTCCAAGTTCCCAGATCCGGCTATTCCGATTGGACCGCACCTGCGCTCAATGAACATTGGCGTGTCGAGGAACCGATGGGTGCAGTCGTCCGTGGCGGGGATGGAGCGCCGCTATAGCGAGCTGGTGGACCTCCGCACGCTGCTCGCGTTTCAGTTCCCGACTCTCATTGTGCCGCCGCTGCCTCCAAAGTCCAACCTCGAGAACTTCGGCACCCTCTTAAAAAATGAGGGTGTCATCATCACGCAACAGCACTCCATTGCACGCTTCCTTCGCGAGATTGCAATAATACCGGAGTTGATGTATTTCTCAGTCTTCACGCCGAACTTCTTCCAGCTTCCACGCGAGAGTTTTGAGGACTGGGTCGGCTCGATGCGGGCTACACTGGAGGAGTTCCGCCATCTCAACACGGCCATCGACGGGCGTAGCACGCGCAGGAGCGGGCTGCTCGGTTCGGAGTCCGTCACTACCATCACCGACAGCTCCACGAAGGTAGTGCGGAAGCTCGTGGGTATTCTGCAGTCTTGGATGGGCGGCAGTGATGAAGTGCAAAGGCAGCAGCAGAAGCACAGCCCACAACGGCAACGGCAACAGCAGCAGCAGCAGCAGCCTGTTCAGGGTAAAGACTACGTCAACACCGCGACGACGCATGTGTCCTACTGGACAAATGAGGTAGACTTCCTCAGCCGCTGCCGCACAGCCATCACAGAGACACTGCAGCCGTATCTCACTTTTATGCAGCAATCGCTGGAGGCCGTCGCCGCACAGAAGGACGTCGCGGAGTCGCTAGAGAAATACGCTGAGGCCCTTGCCGCCTCAACAGATAACAAGGAGCTCGCGCAGCTGACGCTAGAGGCTAGTCGCTTCATGGATAGTGGCGTGCTGGCTGTCGATTCGCAGCAGAGGCATAACAAGCGTGAGGTGTACGAGCGTCTATTATTTGAGGTGGCGTACATCGACGCCGCGCTCGACGCGATAGACCACGTGCTGTGCCTCTGGAGCCACTGCAGCGACCTCGTGGGTGATCCAGGGCACGTGCCGCTGTTTAACTACACGGTGGAGGTGAGCAAGCGGCTGCGCGAGTACTATGAGACGCGGTTTCTGCGTGTATTCCGGCATCGCATGCTCAACATGATTCAGCGCATGGTCCGCACCGGAAAGGGCTACGCCGAGAAAGCGGTAACAGCCATGCAGAGCGCCGCCTTCTCCACGACGATAAAGAATCCGACGTACACGTCGTACGAGTAGCCGTTTTTTACACGTGCGTATGCGCATGTATGTCGGCACAAAGAGGGAGAGAGAGAACCGGATAAGTCTCCGGACGAGACAGATGGTTTTGCAACATTGGGGTTGTTTCCGCTGCTGGGGCTGCGCTAGTAAGGTGCTAGAGGTGCTTGTTTGTTTGTGTTTGTGTGTGTGGCGGAGAGTGTAGGGACGTGTGACTGGGGGTGCCGATGCTTATCGTCACTTGGTGGGAAAATGTGTGGACTTTGCAGACGCAACAGCAACGAGGGGCGAAGAGAGGGGAGAGAAGAAGAAGAAGAAGAGAAAACAGATAGGGCAAACAAAAAAAACACGCGAAGTGTGGGAACTGCATAAGTGGAGTCTGCACGTTGATCCCTGGTGCCGAGGAAGTGGGGGTGTGGTGAGGTTGGGTGGGGAGGAGGGGGAGTCGTTATTTGTGGGGAAAGAAACGGTGGAGGAGGGGGGATTTTGGAAGCGCTGCCCCGCTCCTGCTGAGTTGCGCCAATTTCCTTTTCGCCCAACCAACCGTCACGAGTGGATTTCTTTTTTTTTTGTTTTTGTTTGTCTGTTTGGCGTGGCGTGCAATAGGCCTCTCTCCTTCACCGGTTGCTTGTGCGCATTCTTATGTGCCTGTCTGTGTGTGTGTCTTTGTGGCGCCAGGACGAGGAATAAGAGCAGTGGGAGGGAGTGCTATCTACACCCTGCGGAGTGTCCGGTGGGTGCTTTTATTTTCCTCTGTTGCTACACTCCTTTCCTCCGTTGCTGCTCATCCTGTTGTTGTTTGCTGATGCTGTTGCTGGTCTGGTGTGACTGCCGCAGCATCTGAGTAGAACAGCCGGCATGGCGGCGCAGACCGGCAGTGGTGGTGAGGCGGCGCTACACCTCGACCCCACGAGCCGCGCGTTCGACGCCAAGTCGTACATCCGCCGCGTCTACGCCGACGCTACGCACGTTGAATTCGAGCAGACGCTGCTGCAAGCCGTTAGCCACGAGGCGGAGGTCGCCGGTGAAGCGCTGCAGCAGCTGATACGCGACAGCATGGGGACGTTCATCGGTTGCAAAGAGGCGATGGACGTGATGTACGCCAACGACACGTCACTCTTCACTGGGGAGGCGGTGGAGCCCATTGCTGACGCATTCGTGGCGACACTTGAGGACAGCGAGGAGCTCGTTGCGCCGACAGTTGAGCTGTTCGAGGAGCTGCGCGCGAACAAACTCACGAAGGAGACCCTCGCAAGGCTCATGGTTGTGTGGCGTGTCCCTGGTGCCATTTACGAGTACTGCGGTGTGCGTGTGCCGCAGCGCCGATCGGATTTGGCGCAGCAGCAGCGTCTGCAGGGCGTTGCGGCGGTTCCCGCAAAGAGCCGTGGTGACCATCTAAGTCACCGGGACGGTGGTGAAGATGGCAGCAGCAGCAGCGGCGGGGGCTCCGACGGAGAGGGGTCTGACGTAGAGGACAGTGCGGTGCAGCGCATTGCACGTGGCGCGCTGGAGGAGTTTGCAGACGGCGCCGGCACGAGCAGCGACTACGTGCTGCACCCCGGCGAGGAACTGCTCCATTGGCACGGCACCCCGCTGGCGCGGCGGCGTGGTGGCAGCCGTGCGGAGGCGGCGCGGCGCAGCAACTACGAGGCAGCCGTGCTGAGCCTGCGCCGTGCCATGCTGTACTTGGAGGAGAACTACGACCTCGAGAACGCCGCCGTCCTTGGCGTGGTGGACAACAACGACGACGGCGACGAAAACTATAATAGCACCAACATCAACAATGACGGTAAGAGCAATGCGCCGGGGACCCTGCGCCAGCAGCGCGGGGGCCTCGTCCACACGTACCACTACGCCCTGGCGCTCCTCCGCGCTGCGCTGTACCTTGGCGAGCAGATGGCGCGAGAGCTGCGGTACGCCAACGCGGCCGACACGGTGCTTATCGAGGACACCCTGTCATCCATGATGGACACTGCCATTGCCGCGGTGAAGCTGCGCCACTTCTGCTGGACCGCACGAACGAAGCTGCAGCTCACTGTCAAGCGCGACGCCGCGCTGTCGGGGCTTCGGCAGGAGCTACGGGAAGGCGGTTCCGACGAGCAAGACGACGACGACGACGGTGAATTGTCGAACATACGGTCTCTCTCGGGAGAGTCTTTTGCTGGCACAGACGTGAGCTCAAGCTGTATAACTTTGAACCCGCCGACCACGTCCTCCGTCGAGCAACAGCAGCGTGTGGAGCATCCTGTGGAGTACTACGTGCGCATCACACGCAACCAGCACACCCGCATGATGGAGGCGACGGCGCTGCGCCTCAGCCACGAGGCGAATGAATGGCGGCGCAAGTTCAAGCCCGGCAGTGAGAGAGTTGAGGACGCCACTACGCGTGACGATGTGGACATGAGCGGCTACGGCAATAGCGGCAAGCCTGCGTGGACCGGCTCTTTTGCGATGTCAGGAATGTTGCTGGGAAGCGCAAACGACTCCTTCTCGCTGTTCAACACCGACGTTGCTGCTGCTGCTGCTACTACTACTGTCGCCGCCAGCGCCGACGCCACAGTTAGTGAGCGCATCAAAGTCGGTGGCTTCGGTGTGGACGTGGCGGCGGGCGTGTCGCCGCAGGTGGAGGCGATACTCGAGGCGTTCCGCACTCCCGAGGGCAACTTTGCGCGCTTTACGACGTTCAGCATAGGCGGGGTGGATATGGGTGATGTGCTCGAGTGCTCTGCTGTGCAGCTGGAGAAGTACGGCGCTGGACTGCTACAGCAACTCGTGGACCGCGCTGACGTGGAGGTAAGCGTGCCAGCACAGGCGGCGGCGGTGGCAGCGAGCACGTTTGCTGGCCGGCTCTTCGCCGCTTG